GGTTGTTGGGCTTGTAGTTGTTGTTCCAGTTGGAGTTACTTCCTCTGTGTTGTTGTTGATGCTGCTTAGGACGTGTAGAAGCAACATTAGCAGTCATCGGTATTGCGCTTGCAACAGGAGTAGTCATTGCAAGGAGTTTGGCTTCCCTGTTGTTGAGTTTTTCATGAATCTCGATGATGGAAGGCGTAGTATCACGGCCCTCTAGTTGGTCTGCAACAGTCTTGTATTCTTTGGGTAAGCCATCAATGATATACTCGATCTTGTCTTCATGGTCCAGAGGTTTCCCAAGGAGGCCAAGCTGATCAAAACGAGTTGTTAAACCCCTCATGTAGTCATCAATGCTTTTGTCTCCTTTGGTGAAGTGCTTTAACTGTAATCTGAGTTGCTGAATGTGACCACGAGACGGTGTTGCATAGGTTGCGTTGAGTGATTTCCACACATCAGAAGATGTTTTGGTGTTGGTGACCAGTGCCTGGATGGATGGAGACAAGGTACCGATGAGACCAAACGATCTTGACGACGCCATTTAGTGAACGCCGGGTTGGTAGATGTGAGGTTGTCGACTGTGATTGTTTTTTCTGGCGCTGGTTTCAAGCCGTTAATGTAACCAGCCAAGTCATAACCATCAAGGAGAGCATGGACTTGAAGACTCCATGTTATGAAGTTGGTTGATGTGAGCTTAGTGATGTTGGTCATGTTGACGTTTAAGAAGGGTTTAGTATCGTCAACTTCATCAACGTGAGGAGCCGCCATTGAAGAGATAAGGAACTGAGAGCGAAGAAAAGGATGAAGAAGAAGGATAGTGGCGACGTAAAAGAGAAGAAGAAAAAAAATATCCTAGGGTTATCGGTTTGCTCTTGATACCATGTAAGGAAATGTATTTCTCATATAAATTAACATCACTTTACATCCCATTATATACAGACTCAAGACTTGGGGAGAAGGTTACGTATTAACTCTAACTTCCTAAAACAGAGGAGATGATATCGCATACAGTAAATGGAAGATCAGTATCGTATATCTTCTTACATATATTACAGAACCTGCGGCTAATTCTTCTACGCTTGATGAAGTTCGAATATATCCTATTCTTTTAACAATCCTACTAAGGATGTAGCATTATTATTTGAAAAATAGGGTTTCTCATTCAATCATGAATTTGTAAAAAGTTTTTTTTTTTTGTTCTCTAATATCAGGTTGGGTTTCTTACAAAAGTCACTTCAAGAGAGTGCAATAGGCACATGGGAAGATAGGATAAGCTTATTACCTGAAGCCTTGCTATGTCATATACTTAGCTTTCTTTCGACTAAGAAAGCTGTTCGTACAAGTGTTTTGTCGTCTATGTGGAGAGATAACTGATAGTGGGTTCCAAGATTAGATTTAAAGAGTTTCCATTTCCCAAATGACAAAGTGTGTGTGGATTTCATCAACATGCATCTTCTGAATTTCCAGATCTTGAGTGAATTCAAGCTATGCATTTTTGACCCATATGACTCTAGAGATGCCTCTCTTTATGAGAAGTGCCTCGAAAAAGTGACCAAGCGCAAGATTCAACATTTTCAAGTCGAATATTTTGGGGACATGGAGATACCCTTAACCCTCCCTATGTGTGAGACATTGATATCCTTAAGTCTCCTTTCTGTAAGGCTTAATGATTTTGAGTCACTTTCCTTACCTTGTCTCAAGGTTATGTACTTAGAACATGTTATATTAGTATGGTCATGTTCGTTTGGTGGTCGCCAGCGCCAGCGACCAGAGTCAGCGACCAGCGTCAGCGATTTGATGTCGCTGATAGTTGTTCATTTGGTGGTCGCTAGCGTCAGCGATTGATCGCAGCGGTTGTCGCTAAGTTGTTCGTTTCAGTGTCGCTTGCGACCAGTTCTTTACATTTAAATTATGTTTTTTTGATAAAAAATATGATCATAGTTATTTTTTTTTGAAAATTCTTTTTCAGTTACTAAATTATTAAAAAGTCATAAATAGAAAAAGTCAAAAAATATTAATATTTTTTTATTAAAAGATAAGTATAAAATACATAAAATAGAAAAATTATAAAGGTACTTGTAAAATAAGTTCAATGTTTAGTGTTTATAGGTTGAGATTTTCTGGATTTTTATAGCTAGATTAATACATGGTTTGTAAATAGCTGCTAAAAGCATTTAACTTATTTATTTTCTTTGATCTGATATATGAGAATCATTTTAAGATAATAAATTATTCTAATTTGAATTAGAGAAATCGTAACTGAAAGACTGGCTGCTATTTAGATTTTTTTATTTGTAATGTTTTTTGTGCATTAGCTAGAATTGGAAAAGTTTATGATTGTTAAAGAGAAAAAAGAATAGTAGTGATAGCTCAAAGATAACCAGTTTATAGTTACTCTAAACATTAAACTTATTTACAAGTACTTTTAAGATTTCTTTTGAATTTTTATGATTTGATATTTATGTATTTTAGACTTATTTTACTAATAATATAATATAAATACTTTGTGATTTTTTGTTTTTTTTAAAAAAAATAAACTTTATGATTTTTTGTTTTATTAATTTTTCTATTTTTTATTATTATATTTATTTTAATAATAAAATATTATTCTTTTATTTGTTTTCTTTTTTCAAAATTTTAATGAATTTATGATTATTTTGATTTTTTGTGGATTTATTCTATTTTGTATTATTATTTTTATTTTATTAATAAAAAATTAAATTATTGTTTGTTATTCTTTTTTTTGTTTTTTGTGAATTTTTCTATTTTCATTATTATTATATTTATTTTATTAATAAAATTATTTAATTATTATTTAAAAAATTAATGACTTTTATAAAAGAATTCTATTTTTGTATAATTATATTTATTTTATATATACAATAATTATTTTTTTTAAACAATAATGACTTTGGGATTTTTTTATGATATTTATTGATTTTTATGATTTGTTTTTAATTTTTATAATTTTTAAATTATATTTTTCTATTTATTTTATTAATAAAATAATTTAATTATTATTTCTGATTTTTTTTTAATTTTTAATGACTTCATGCTTTATTTTGACTTATTATGATTTTTTCTGTTTTTGAATTTATTACTATTTTTTATTGTTTTCTATTTTCTGTATTTTCATATTTATTTTATTAATAAAAGAATATTTATAATTTTTTATATTTTTTATAATTTTTTATTTTTTCTCTTTTTTGTATAATTATATTTATTTTATTTAGAAAATAATTTATTTGTTTATATTTTTTATGAATTTTCTTGATTTTTATGTTTTGTTTTAAATTTTTTTATAATTTTTATAATTTTTTTTATTTTTCTATTTTTGTATAATTATATTTATTTTATTTATTTTTTTATGAATTTTATTGATTTTTATGTTTTGTTTTGAATTTTTTTATAATTTTTTTATTCCTATATTTTCATATTTATTTTATTAATAAAATATTGTTTTTTTTTAAAGGTTTTGGTCGCTGAAGCTAAAATTTTCAGCGTTTAAAATTTTTAATCGCTGAATCTGGTCATTGAGACGGCGACCAGTAAACGAACAATGTTTAGTCGCTGAAGTTGGTCGCTGACGCTAGCGACCTCCAAACGAATAGCGCCTATATTACCTCACAATGCGGTTCTTGATACGTCAAGGCTTGAACGCCTGACTCTCAGAGGTTATCAATCCGAAAGCTTCATGATAATCAAACGTATGAGTGACCATGCCAAGGTTGATATTGATGTTTTCTTTGAGCTGACGGATTTTGACTTATCCAAAGGAAATGTCATCTATAATCTTCTCAACAATTTTTCAAACGCAGGAGATATGACACTCTCACGGAGTACTCTTGCGGTATGTAATCAAACTGATGACAGAGCTCTAATCTTTCTTCTCTTAGTTTGTGTTATATTGACTTTTTCTCTTTGTTTGCAGTTAATCTACTTTCTTCGGGACATGAACCCGCTACCTAAATTTCGTGACTTGACTCGTCTGCGTGCAGCTTATAGTTCTCTCTCGAGTTACTGTCATTGGTTCTTGAGAGCTGCCCAAATCTGCGATACTTGACCTTGGTATAATGACTAATGACGTGCTTTACCATGAAAGTGTTTGAACCGATCAGTTTGGTGATAACAAGTAAATGATCGACGGAAACTCGTTGGTGGGTTATTACGAAAGTGCGAGTAAACAAATGGAGCAAAGAGCGGTTTTATTAATAGATGAAAGAGTGTTTACAAGAAGGAGCGTTGGTGCTCGGGAGCTACAACGTTGTACGGACCGATCTAAGAGCAACGAGGTAAGTAAAACCCTAGTTTAGTTGCCGCCTAGTCAGACTATTTTCGAATGCCTTCTAAACTCAACATCTCTTCGTTTATATAGGTCTTTGTACGGCAAACCCTAATGGGCTGTATTACTCGTTCGGTGGGCCTTTAGATGAGCCGAATCTTCCTGCTCGGTATGGACGCTGACGTGTACTCGTCTTCGACTCCTTTGTCGCCTTGTGATCGACTCCCTCCAGGCATATTCGGGCCGTGTGATGGGCCGTGGTCTCATTCGATGGGTCTTGAAGATGGGATTAAATCCATCTCCTACAGAAAGGTTTTTTTTTGTTTATCTGCTCATTAATGTTTCTGGTTTGCAGAACTTGGTTAAGGATGATGATTTAGAGTTAGAGGCAAATAGTTTTTCATAAAGTGCTGTCTTTTTGTTTGGTATCGTCTCTTGAATATGTTGATATTGAAAGTCCTATCACGGAGGAAGCAATAGAACAGGAAGTGGTAAGATACTTTCTAGGTAACGCGACATCACTCAAGAAGCTTGTTCTACGTTTGAATGTGTCTGATGGAGAGAAACACGATCTCGAAGCCTTGAAGCAACTCTTTGACTCTCCAAGACGCTCTAGTTTGTGTCAGTTTGATGTTCTTATGGTTCAGACTCCAAACAAGATGAAGGAACTGTAAAAGAAGTGTGGAAAACTAATACTATCATAGTACTGATCACACCAGCATTTAATTTTATATCTAGAAAACAATCTATACCCCAATAAGATTTGGTATAAAACAATATTAAGCGTTGACAAGATGATATTTTGGAATGATCACAATCACAAGAAAATGAGTTATTTATTTAAGAATCGCTCGTCAGGCTTCATATTCGTCATTCTTTGGCAACAACATGGTCTGTTTCAGATGCATAATCGTGTCTGTAAACAAGAAAGACAAACAAAAAGAATTTAGCATATCAATGTCTAAACAAAGAGATAAACGTCACTAGAAGAAACGAGTGTTAACACCATGCAATGTAACTCTTGAGTCTTACTTTATTTTACGGGTAAGTTGGTATATGCCTGTTGCTGCCATAGCAAGGCTAACGCTAAAGAGATTCCAGTTTTTCTGTAAGCACAAAAATAATAATAATAAACAAGTAATCCACTAACAAATCAGTACAAGAGTAAAGAAAAAAAATATATATTAAAAGGCAATATACTGGAGTGATAACAGTGCTGTAACGTGACCAGATGACTCCAGTTCCTGCAATCACTGAATAATATGGAGAGCAGACAGAGAAACTGTGAGAAAGTACTTATACATGGCGAAAACAAAACATTGCATCATATAAACATAGAATAAAATTGTAAGAAGACTATACAGAGTACAGCAAAATACAGAGTGTCACACAAGAACATCAAGGATATAAGAAGAGTATATATATACCCATTTGTTGAGGGTATGAAAGGGTCTCTGGAGGTTTCTGAAAGTCTGCAATGTTAGCAATGCTTATACCCCACTTGAACGTTGGCGCCCAGAAATGGACTGAAAATTTTACAAAATAATTTTGATCAAACCAACTGGTATATGCACTTTCCTGATTAAATTAGAATCATGTGGAAAAAAACACGTGATTTGTTTTTGACCTGGCGGACCTAGACCCGACCGACTAATTGTTTAATCTATTAAAACAGAAGTACAAATATAAATTAATCTTAAGCTTGTATAATATTTACAATTTAATGTCACTGAGAATTAAAAAACATATATTTAAATCTAATCTATTAAAAAAGCTGTATAAATATAAATTAATCTTTAAACTTGCACAATATTTACAATCTAATGCCACTGAAAATTAAATAAACATATATTTAAATAATAATTATATTTTCTTATTTTATTAAATCATTTCCTAAATCAAGTTTACCTAAATTTTTGTGATTAACAAATTTCCTAAAATAATTTAGCTAAATTTTAGGAAAATTCAAGTTTAGAACTTTTTAATAGTAATATAATATTTCTCAAGTATCATATAAACTCCACACATGTACCTTGTAGGATTTAAAATATATGTATTTTAAAATTTTATAATATGTGTTTAACCATTATCATTAATTAATTTAAACAATAAAATCTATTATGCTAAAATTTAATTATTTTTAAATTACTTGTAGAATAATCTATATTGTTTATAATCGAATATTCATATTAATTTATCCATATGTTTCTTAATATATACATATATATATATATATATTCCAAATATTTCTAAAATATATTTTTATTCATTTCAGTTACTATTAATTTTTTTTAACAATAAATTTATCTATATAAATTTTTAAATATCATAAAACTGCTTGTAAAATAAAATTTTTATTAGTTAATTATTTGTTTCCAACATGTAAAATATTTCACTACGATGTTTATGAAAAATTTAAAATATGATATATATTTAAAATATTAACTAGAAAACATTTAAATAATATTTTTATATATAAAAAATATTAAAGTGGACTTTCTTGAAGGAATCCCTAAATCAGAACTGAGGGTATAATCAAGATAATATCAAACCCAGGTTTGACAAAAGAGTATACTATCAATCAAGATTTCTACGAAGTCAAGGTTCATATTATCAAAACTTTGGACTGATACAGAGAGAAACTCGTTATAACTTATAAGGCAAGATTCAAGAATACTTATTGCTTAATGATCAAAAAGTCGATGATCAAAGTCTCACAAGGGCAAGAATCAAAAGTGAAGAAAGAGTCAACGATATCAAAAGAAAGTAATTCGAATTGGACTCACTTGTCTTAGGTCCTGCTGGATGATTCCAGAGAGCGTGAAGCTTCGTTGTTGCCATTTGATTTTTTTTTTTCTGGAGGTTCTTCAGTATTCTCTCAAGAAATCGTCTCAATTCATTCTTGCAAGACGAACTTTCTTAGCCCTCAGACATTTGACAAAACTGTACTTAACTATCGTGACGTGTATTAGCTGAACAATTCGTAAATAATATCTTACAAATCCCTAATATCTAAATCTCTTCTAGTATATTCAGCCAATTGACTCTTTTTTAAAAGCAACTACCATATAAAAATAAGATATTCGGTAGGAAACTGAAGCTTTCGAATAGGTAATGCAAATAAAAAAATGTAGATCAAACATAAATATGGATAAAGTAGAACAAATACATATCAAACTATTTCAATAAATTATTTATTTAAATAAATGTTTTTACTATAAATATCACGTTGACAAAATTATCAATAAATACAATTATTTTAATAAGTATAGTAAAATTTAAAATTATATAAAAATTGATCACAATTACAGAAGTTATAAAGAGTATTTTTGTTTTGCTCTTATTTTTGTATCTTTACTCGACCTTAGTTTTTTCTTACCATTTGGTTCAACTGTATATGTTATTGTATAGAACTAATATTATCATTTTTATATATGTTATTGTATCAACAAAATCTTCATTTAAAATTTCAAAATATAAAATGTATAAATGTATATGCAAGAACAAAAAATCGTTTGATATTTCATTAATATTAAGTAACTATAAAATTATATGCAGTTAATTATTATCAAATATGAAATTATATGCATAAATTTATTAAGCTAATTTATATGAAAATATTTACCACTTTTTGAATATTTAATACATGATTTTTATTGATTAAATATTTTAAAAGGATACAAAATATTGAAATGTAAAAATTTATAAACAGTTATTAGTTATTTTAATTATATTACTTATTCTCAAGAATAAAAAAATGAACTATAGTATATAGTTTTTCTACCAACGTAAATATTATTTATTAGTGAAGTTAGAGAAGATAGATGATACAACTACACTGTTTATTAAAAATACTTACATGTGTTATAATATATAAGTTATAAAGATATTAAAAAGTTTATTGGATACTTTAGTCATAAACTTTCTCTTATCTGTAACACATTTTTTCCATAATTTATTAAATTAACTAATATAAAACATATTTTGATTTTTTTTTTCATTTGAATGGATGTAGTGAAAAAATTCATGCATATATTATAATACATTGTATTCAACTATTACAAATATAATTTATATTTAACTATTTTTATGAATGTTATATAAAAACAGTAATCAAATAGTATAAGATAAAAATGCATACATGTGTCAAAATATAATTGTCGAGAATTAATTAATTTTCTTACTAAGTATTAATGAAAATATAGTTTAACTTATTTTAAGCATATTAAAATTTCAATAATTCATTGAAAAATAATTAAATGTGTAGCTTGATTTTTTAAATTAATTTTAATAGATGTACATATAGGAATCAACTAAATTGTTTCAGAAAAACTAATTAAACATAAGATAAAATACTGCTTTTATAAAAAAATATAAATTAACTAAATACAACATGAAAATGAATGCATATGTCATAATATATTTTAAAATAATTAGTGAATATTTACTAAGAATTAATAAATATAAATTATAACTTATTTTTAATCAAAAGAAATAAAATATTCTAACATTTATAGATGATAGATTTAAAAAAAAAACTACAAATGCCCATTGGTCACCTGCCCATCACGAATTCTCTCATTTTCCTTTTTTTTTTTACATCAAAAGGCTGATCTATTACTCAAACTTGAGATAGTCTGGATAGCCAGACTGGAATATAACAACCAATATACAAAAGTTCTCGATAGAAAGATCGAGCAGTTTTAGCTAAAGAATCAGAAAAACCATTATGTGTCCTAGGAACATAGAAGATCTTGAAATCTGGGAAGCAAATCCGCAGCGTCATGAGTTTTTCCAATTCCGTTGAGAAGCTTGGCCAGTCATGAGGATTTCTAAGCATCGCTATCAACTCCTTGCAGTCCGTCCCAAAGCTCTGACATGGCGAATGTTGAAGCATATATCTCCATTGCCCACCGCAGTGCTTCCAGCTCAGAGTGCAAAGCAGACTCCACTCTATTAAAATTACGCATACCCATTAACTGACTATTTTCCTCTGTTCTAAAATGCGGCCGCCGCGACCGGTTATGAGGCGATTAAACGTGCGGAGCTCTAACGTTTTGATTTAGACCAAATCGGAGAAGTAGGCGGAACTTAAAAAAGAATCTTCGTTTTTGGTCTTTTTGAAGCTCAAAATCGATATGTATATGATTAATCTATAAATTTAGAGTATTAATCGTGGAAAAAACGCAAAAGAACTGAAGAAATTGTGAAGAAAATCCATGGCGGCCGCGGATCGTTTTTACAGAAACCCTAATTGCTTTATTGAAGAAGAAGAAGTTGTAATTACCAAAATACCCTTCATTAACAAAAGCACGAAAATAAACAAAAATTGAGCAATCTGCTACTCGAACTCACAACCTATTGACGAAATAAAGGATACTTACCACCAAACCGCGTCAATCCTATTGTTTTAGGTTTTGTAACAGTTAGTTATATAGAATATTTTAAAAAATCAAAATTAAACTCAAAACTAGACCCCGACTAATCTCCGATTACTCCCCGATTAATTGTTAACTCGCTAAGCCCATGTCATCCGCCCGACTAGCGCCTAGCGACTTTTCTAACAGAGCTATTTCCCATATTGTCATTCAAAACCCATCTACATCCACTGAACTGAGCTGTAGAGGTCTAAGAACCGTCTACCAAGCAAATATTTCCCACACTTATGGTCTGGCTTTCAACATCTATGTTTCCTTGAGATGGCGATATGATCTGTTCATTGGTTTGGAACTAGGCTTGGCACTCACTCTTTGCATAACGGCTAGCTCCAATGGATCTCTATCAATTCCTTTGAACAACTTATCATTTTTCCATGCAGTCCAAAAAATCAACATAATAATAATCTGCATATGGTGGAAGCCCCCTTAGTCGAATGGTTCGACTATTAAGGGCTCATTAATGCTTCTATACCAGGAGGTTTGGGTTTCAATTCTCGGATAATGTGGAATATGCAAATTAATAGAGAATTGATTAGAAGAGATATGCAGCATGGCACAAGGAATATGGTCAAGCGTGGATATCATAGGGCGACTCATGTGGTTGCAGTCAAGACGTAATTTCACATAAGGCATGTTGAATTGTCGGTGCACGGTCGAACGTGGATCACATAGGACAACTCATGTTTAAAAAAAAAATCTGCATTTAGAACATTATTAATTTATTATTTTTTTATTTGGTCATCAACATAAACATATTCTAAATAGACTCTGCAAACCACTCTGGTAACTCTGTATCCATATGAACGACGAAAGATGATTGTTTCCTGACACTCCGTGCCCGACTGTCCGCCTTAGTATTCAGCGTCCGTGGAATATGGATGAGTTGTGAGTGAGTGAAACTCTCTTGAAGGATCTTGATGTCTTCCAAATAATTCGCAAAAGCTGGTCATTCCTCTAGTGCAGAAATCATCTTCACCAACTGAATGCAATCTGTCGCAAACGTAACATGATATTGACGTAAGTTCCTTATACTTTCCATCACCCAGATGAGAGATTATATCTCTGAGTGTAATGGCGAGAGACTAGCTCTCGTATTCCTGGCTCCCATTAATCCTTCAAAATCTTGTAAGGTATTGTACCATCCTTGTCCATAGAATGCATCCTGAGCTTTCCATGACCCATCCGTAAAACACTAACGACCCGGAATCAAAGGTAAGCTAGCATGTCCAATATCAACCGCACTAGAAATCCTATGTGTAAATGAGATATGGGCTTCCATCCAAAGTAAGCTTTCTGTTTTTGCCATTTGCAGTGTCCATCAGAGCCACATCAATATTGCTGAAAAACTCTATTTTTCCTTCCTTTCCAAATGTACCACAAAATCCATGTAAATTGATGATCCACAACATTATTAAATTATTTATTATTTTTAGTTCTGCATTTAATTGATGAATGGATACTAAATGCAGTCTCCTTTGCATCATTATCTCTCTTGCATCTCTCATGCTTCACATTCATACCTTTTGAAAAGAGAATTTTTGACTAGTAAGCCTTTACGTCTTCACCTCAATCAAACAAGTAAATTTCCGTGTTATCACTGTATTATTTTTAACTGAGGATATACTTGTGCTGATAAGAATCAATACTTACTATTTTCATTGAGCTTAGGATATGTCATATCTCAAACTCTTGCGTTTATAAGTTGTTGCTTAGATACTTATGTAGGAACTTAACTTATATATGAGTTAAGATATTGTGTGTCTTATCATGGGATTTCGAGTCAATCCCTTTAGTTGATGACTCTACAAAATATTATCAAGAGAATGCGGAAAATGGGAACAAATGTAAAATATCAGGCTGTTGATTCTTGTTTGGAACCGAGAAATTCAACTCCATTCGTTTGTAGAAAAACTTAATCACGCTTAGAGATGACATATGAACACTGAGAAGAGCTGATCGACGGTAGCCTAGAAGAGTAATACTGATGATACTACACAATGATTTATGGTACAAAATGCTGTTTTATGAATATATATTTTATGGTTTTCTCAAAAAAATACATATAATTTTTAATGGGTTAGTTTCTGTAATGACATTAGTGAGAGACAAAAAAAAAACCATAGCAAAAAATTGTCAGGGTGATGGGACAATTACGCTCAAATGTGGACGTATGTCTCCTTCATGACACGTTGGTATATTTCACAAGTAGTAGGGTCCATAGGAATAGAGTGACGTTTAGTATGTTTCATATGTGTACTCTATTCTATTAGCATAGCTTGTAATAGTATAGTATTCTAACGTCATTGCTTATGTTGTAGGTGTCATATATTAGTTACATGCACATTTTAAGGGATGAAATATAACATAATGTACTCTAATATTTCGAGTCATGAAATGCAATGGTAGACAAACATTAGTAACTGATTGAGCCCCTCTATAATTACAAGGA